ATGATTTTGCTGGCTGAAGCAGCAAAGGGAACGAGTCAGCTGTTTCTGGCCCACTGAATGCAGTCCCTGTGACCACCAGAGCCAGCGCAAGGACGGGATGGGTCTGTCTGGCCCAGGGAGGGGAGACCAGGGAGCAGAGTCTGTCCTGGTCGCTGCTGGGCTTCGCTGCCAGACTGGATTTCGGCTTTGCTGGTGGATTATAGGAACGAGACGATTCAACTGCCTTTTTTAGCAAGCATGAAGCTCAAGGAATGTGGCCTGACACCGGCTTCTCTTGTCCGCTCTCCTCTCTGCGGAGAAAGCCCCATCTTTTATTCCTGTTGGATTCTTCCTTTGTTTCTGTACTTGAAACTTGTTTGCGACTATACAGCATTTCTGCTTGAAGTCAGGGATGTCGCTCGTTTACTGGGCTGACTTGACGAGCCACCAGCAGCTATCCCAGCACTGAGCTTCAGCTTGGACTGAGATACTCAGGAGTTCAGGGACTTCTGTTTCAGAACAGTCTGAACAGACCGCCTAAAATTTGTACAGGCAGGAGCTAAAATAATTACAGTTCTTATCAATAAGATTACTAATAATAATTACAATAAGATTACTTACATGTACTAACGCTTTATCAAAAGCCCCTGCTTGGACTTGTTTATTGAAACCAAAGAGAAAAAGTTCATACTGTTTATTTCAAAACAGCAAAGAATCAATAGGCATGAGTGATTTTTGTTCTGTGTTTTAATAGAGAAAGTAAACAAAATTTAATAAGAACTTACTAAGTTTGATTTAATTTTATTATAAAGGTAAAACACAGCAAATATGTCTTTTGGGGTTAGAAGAGGAGAAGAAATTAATTGTTCTTTGTGCACATAAGCTTTTAGTGGTTAGAAGCAGTGAGTGCAGACAATGCGTTTTATTCTCGTCACTGGGAAGCAAAAAGCAAGTGCAGAATTACTGAGACATTTCATCAGCTCTGGTAGGGGATCTGAATATCATAGATGCAGCTGCTGCCTCCCTCGTTTGTGATAAGCTCAGTGTAGCAGAAATGGAAAAAATCAGTATCCACATGAGTGAGGCAGAGTTTGCCTCTTGGTTGTGCAGTCCATTTTAATGAACGTTCTGCTTTCCATTTGCTCCCTTTTGCACCAAACAATAGCGCGGCCCTGAAGCGCCTGCAAAGTAATAAATAGTCATCTTGCGGCAAATAACAGAGTTCACCAGCACTCCAGAACATTTTTGTCAATAAATCCACTAAGATTTACACAAAGAACATCACAAGATAGACAAATAGGGGGAGAGGGAGGAAGAAGGGAGGAAAGAGGATAGTTTGGGGTGTAAGAGAGGGAGATACTTGCTCTCCAAACTTATTGACACAAAGCACTGAAGTAGGAAAGTTTCAGCACAAGTACAGACATATGTAATGGCTTTCTACATATTTGTGCAGAGTAATGTTCATAGTCTTCATATGCTGATGAGCCTTTTTTTGGGGCGGGGTGGAATTCAAAATAATCAACCTTCTATTGTATTGAAGAGCTCATGCTTTGAGGGGAAGTTTACACTGTATTGATCTCCAATATAAACTCCTTCAAATGGATATTTGGAAGGTAATAGATTTATTTATAAAATTTGTCTCCCTTATCAAATATAAACAGAGGAATTACCTGAATGCATAAAATGGCTAAAAAATACAACTTGCCAGTACTTTTTTAGTAATAATATTAAATATTGATTATTTTCCTGCATGATTGCCAAAATGAATATTTTCATACTGGCACACACTTGTAGCAGCTACTAAATTACATTTATGCTGAAGCCTTTTTTACCTGTAGGGTTTCATAATTCAGTCTTTGCCAATAGCAAATCAGTTTGGTCTTGGCAGGTGGCAGCTTCTGTGACCCGCAGGAAAAGAAGATAGTAGAAAAGACCGGAGGATTTTTTTACAGCCAGAATAGAATTTGAGACCTCCGTGCAGTATTTTACCCTAGCAGTTAGAACGTGCAAGGGATTTGAAAGCTTATGCTTTTGGTTAGTAAATGTAATAATCTGTGGTGTTTATTAGGTGAAATATAGAATCGGGGGAGCTGCAGTAACAGTGTCCGTGGGCAGCAGCTCCAGCCCAGCCCCGTGACCGAAGCGGCAGCCCTGCTGCCCCGTGCACTGCCCTCTCCACAGCGCTGCTCAACTTCGTCCCTTCGAGCTCCATGGAGAAGAGCCCCTTAAGGTTTTGTTGTGTTTTTTGTTGGGTTTGCGCCACCTGGAAGGCACTTCTGCCCCTCTCGCTGCCTCGTTCGGCAGCGTGTGGAGGTTAAGGCTGCCCCTGCAGACGTCTCACACGAGAGGCTCTGGCTGATCCCTCCCTGCCCCGCTGCAGATGGCCTGTAATTGTGAGGACCTGTTCCCCGCTTGCAGTTAATCACAGCGAATGTAACTGGAGGAAATCCAGAGAGAGAGGGATATTGATAGCACAAAGAATTAAATCTAAGGTCTTTCAAGATTAGGAGTTTCACTGACCATAATTATTGCTCTGATTTCAGCAGATAACTTGGCAGAGTGATTGTGCTCATGGCTTGCTATGAATCCAGAGTATTTCAGGGATATGAGGCATTTGCTTAGTCATAATTAGAAGGGTTGAAAGCAAATCTTTCTTCATAATATCCTCTACCTTTTATTAATGATTCAGAAACAGGTTTTTCCTCTGTCAAATGCTTATTTATTTTGCAAATATTTTCTTGATTGCAATTATTATCTGAAGAAACTATTAGAGGAAATAATTTGTGTATTCTATGCATAGTTCTGTATTAGTCTTTTCATGTGGAGCTGTAAAGCATATTGCAGATACGAAGATTTTTAAAGTGGCTGAGCAGTTAGCAGATGAAGAAGGAATCTGACAGATCAAATCCTGCACCTCCTCACAGTTTTAGCAGGCCTAGTAAATAAACAGAGTAAATTGAAATTCTGAGCAATTACTTGTGGGCTGCCTCTGATGGTAAGCTGGATTTAAAGAGTGTCCGAGCAGGATTTATGCGTGGGAGGAGGAGGCTGACAGGAAGTGGGAAGCAGCTCCACTAAACGGCAGGGAGGGTTTCCAGGCCCTGGAGCGGAGCAAACCTGCCCGAGATGGGCAGCGTCGGAGCAGCCTTGGCCGGAGCTCGGGGCTGGCCGGTCCCCTCCGCTGGGGGCTGTTGTTTGCGGGAGCTTCACGTGCGAGACGCCCTGGGGCCGGGCCCGGCACTGGCCCTGCCGCAGGGAGCTCTTGCTGCAGCCGCTGCAAGGCGGCCGGGCAGCCCGGGCACCTAGCCGCTAGGAAACAGGGGTGCAAAAATCTGCCTCGTGACTTGAATCTCTGTCTCCTCCCAGTGCTTCCCAGGCCTGCCATAAGGAGTTTGATTTGGGGTTATTTTTTTTAATTGCTAGGGATTTTCCTTTTAAAAAGGCCTTTTCTTCACTATGTGCAATGTGGTTGGTGAGGTGGTGCCCTTGTCTTACATTAGTACTTTCTTTGGCAAGGACGGATGGTTGGGAGTTTCCGAAGGATGGCTAAGTTTCCTAAAGATGTTATTTATTACCTTCTTCCCCAGCTAGTTAAACAAATATATGATACTTTTACTTACAGTGCAGATGTTTCAGGAGAAAAGTGCCAATTCTTCCAGAATCTTTCATGATATAACTGCTTTCTCTAATGCACATACACACATTTCTTACGCTAATAAAAAGGGCTTTTCAGGCATACATTTCTGGAACAGCAGTCGCATACAGTTGCTAATTAGGTAAGTGACAGATGTTTGTTCCCTTCTCATCATCTATAAAATTTGCCTCTCATTGCTTTCCCTTGCACATACCCATTCTTGGAATTCAAACTGCAGGAATTATAACATAGGAGCCCAAGCAGTTTCCTGTGCTGCTCTGGGTGCTTTGTGCTCTCGCTGGGCGGTAAGACAGAATGACACTTCAATCAGGAGCTGCAGGACAGGCTGCAAACACAGTTCACGTGCATTCCTGCTGACCTGGAAGGCCAGAGATGCAGTGGTCCCGCAGTGCTGGGAAGTGGTGTGTTCCTACCTCTACTGCCAGCCTGCAAGACAGGGAGTCTGGCTGGAGCTGACAGGTGAGAGGTGAACAGACATTTTCTGGATGCATCTGTGAGCCAGAAGAGGCTGACACTTAGCAAGGCACCATTAGTACCCAGGGTTAACTCCCTATTGAGATCAATAGGATAATTCACGTATCTGGTGTATCTAAGCAGTAGCTCAGCCAGGAGAATCATCTTATGTTCAGAAAGTTTATCTTAGCCGCTATCAAGATGGAAAATTAACTGCTCTGTTCTTTTAAAGTTTTACTGTGCAGAATCGGCCTTGGTAAAGGAAGTATAAAGTGTATCATAGTAGAATGGTGTAATGACTCTCCTTTGGCTCTCTTCCATATCCAAAGTTAAGAAGCAAAACAATATGTTGAAATTGCTTCTTCTTTATAGTTTCTGCAGCATAATTTTCAGCACTATTTTTTTTTTTATTGTTCATTATTAGGATTAAATAATAGTGGTGCTTTCTGGCTTCCTGATCACATCATTATAGAGAAATGGCTGAACAAAAACTGGTATCCAGTGGTGCCAGCGCAGGCACTCTGTTGGTCACAAGGTTTTGTATGGTAGAAGTCTTGAGCTCTTTATTTACACCAAACTCAGCAAGTTGGGCATAACCAACAGCCAGCAGCTGCTTGGGAGGTCTCAGAGCCAAGTGACAAGCAATGAAGGGGACAAAGGCGGGGCAAGTTGTCACTGGGCTGCCCGTGTGTGGTGTCTGTCGTAGTAGTCCTTTGTCTTAGATGGGTCAACCTGCCTGGCGGGGCCTCAGAAGCAGCCACCACCCCGGGGCACTGCCACTATGGGCAGCAGAGATCCCTGTAACTAAAGTCACACTCACTGTGCTCGTTGGACTGAAACTTTATGGTTGGGAGTTGGGCTTTTCCTTGCCTGTGCTAACTGGATGTTTCTTTTCTCTTTCTCTCTATTGCAGCCATCGGATTGGAAGTGGTTTTTGATGTGGTTTTCCATGTGGAGGAAAGAAAACTGTCCCACTCATTTTGAAGCTGATTTGGATGCAGAGGAAGCAGCATGAGGGAGTTCTGAGCCAGTTACAACCTGATTGACCTGCTTTAGCCATCAGACTGCTCTGGGAGCTTCAGAAGCCCGGCAGACCTTGCCCTGTCCTCCCAAGGTGAGAGCTCTATGTAAGTGCACTTCCAGATTTGGAAGCCCACTCTTTTATGCATCTGCATCTGCTTTGGTGAATTGGGTATAATCAGCAGCAGGGGATTGCCCCAGTTAATTTTTTCACTATAACCAAATTATAGTGTCAAGTTGTCTACTCCTTCAGGGAGTATTTAAATCTTCAGTAGGCCAAAGAAAGTTGGCATATCCTGTGCTTAGATATAAATATATGCAGATTATGCAGATTCAATACCTGTTCTGTTGTGTTTAAACTTATGGCTTATTTATCCTATGATATGCTACTCAGTGTGACTGTATTATCTCACTCTGATTCCAAATGTCGGGTCCTGCAGAGCAAAATATTTCACACATAATTCCAAGTTTTACTTTGAGTATTACCCAGTACATTAGGGGCTTTTCAGCTTGTCTAATTCTGTAATGAAATAAAAGAACTGGCTAGAAATACAGCTAGATTGCAGTGTCCTATGAGATGGGAAGCAAAGAGTGCTGCCCAGTGAGGGAGCAGGGCAGAGAATGTCTGTCAATCAAAACATAAGTAGCAAGGACAGAATTTGATCATGATATAATAACAATACATGCCAAGTACTGCAGGAGGAGGGACACCACACTCAGTTCTCAGAACTCAGAGGTTCTCCTGTGTGTTGCTGGAGAGCATTCTGCTGTTGGAAGTGCTTAATTTAGACAAGCTCTTACGAAGAAAGTGCTTGGTGTAGTTAATACACTCAGTGTCTACAAGAAACTGAAGTGCGTTCACTCTTGGGTCTCTCAGAGACAAAAATGAAATCCTAAAACAGTCAGTGTCTGAGCAGTGTGTTTCTGATGCAGACATTTCTTCCAAGGTTTTCTGAAAGGTGCAGACTTTCCTACATCCTGCTGACTTGCTGTATCTAGCAGGATTGTGGGAAACAGTAAAGTGGCTGTAACTTAAGGTGACATTTAGTTCCTACATTTTATTGCATTGATGGTATAATATGCGACAACAAATTCATCGGGAACCTCAAGACTGTGGTTTTGAAGATCTAAGATGAAGTTCTATTCTATTGTGTACTAACATGCATTTACAGTAACCAGTTTAGAATTAAGAGACTCCTTTGTTACCAAGAGTTACCAAGACCTAATGAAGACTTGTAGCATAATGATGATTAGCAGAATAAATTGCCGCAATTCTGCAGAAGGAAGCAAATTCTAATGTTACTCAAAGAGATGGTGAAGATTTTGACCACTTCATATTCCAAATCACCTCTTGTAAATTCTTGTGCAAAAGAGCATTTGCTTATTTACTCAGAAGATAAAAGTGTGAATATTAATTAAGCTGAAAATTAAGCTGAAATGTAGAAATTTGAAGTCTTATTCAAAATATGTATACACATTTTTTGCCAGTGTGTGAAAATCTTGAGATGTATCTGTGCACACATGCTGTCTGATAAATGAGCGTTTTTACAATCTTTCTGAAGAATGATTTTTTTTCCTTGTTGAGATTGATAATATGAGTAAAACACACTTAAGATTTTTCTAGACCGATAGTCTGCTTCTAGAAAAGCTGCTTTCTGTAAGGCTGTATCTCAAAAGGTCACCACCCTGGCATACAGCAAAAAATAATACAGAACGATTGCAGAGTCAGAGACAAATAGTTTTCTGCCTTTGAACACATCTCTGCTACTAAACATGTACTGCAGCAAGGAAATCCATTTTCAGCTTTTCTTTTACATAACAGTTGCAATGCCCTTAAGAGCCCTCAGTTGTTTCAATATTCTCTTCTCCAGTTGTACTACAGCATTACTGCTATAAAAAGCCAGTTTACTGGGAACTGGTGCTGTTCTGTGACGCACTTCTCAGCAAACATTAGAGGTCAAGAGCCTGTACTTCGACAGCTTGGAAAGTGTTCTTAAATAATAATATGGAGATTCCCCCTTCCTTTGTTAACAAGAGTTCTTTATGTGGGAGCAGGTATATTTTACAGTGTTGTCTTTTTGTCAAGCGTATTGTAAACGTGCTTGTGAAGGCAAAAGCAAACGAGGGTGCCTCTCCTCGAGGTTGCCATAGGCTTGATTCTGCAAAACCCCTGTCTTGGGTAGTGCTTTGACCTGTGCAAAACTCCCTCCATGCTGCAGAGGGAAGAGTTCTGGCTGACACTGCCTGTACCCTCTGTGCAGGTATAAGTGGTTGTTGGACTGTTTTCCTGTGCATTAGCTCAGTTCCCAGGGCTCCTTCACTTTTGATTCCTTTTATTTTTTCTACCTACATAATCCAACTGTGTGGTTTTTGCTTAGATCAAACGTCTCACTCCTTTGTTTAGGAGGATTTGTGTTCAGTTCTGACATTTTTCCTGACAAAACCTTGTCCTTCTTGTTGAGCTCTGTAAATAGGGCCCTTACTGGTTAGCTGGATTGAGAGACTCCATAAATCTCTCAATACATCAAATAGAAGCTTGTTTAATATCCTCTGCCTCGTAATCTGCATCCTCCTAATAGATGTGCTCACGATGCCCTTCTCCTGTTGTCTCCTCCATTCCAATAACATTGCCACCTTCATCAGTAGGATTAGTAGCATTCCAAATGCTGTTTTCTCCACTGACATTTTACTGGATCATCCTCCCCAACCAGAAGCACAGAAGCTATGAAATTGCCTTTAGTTACCAGTAGTTTTGTCTATGTCATTACACTAACATTGAACCAGTATCTCCTCAGCCTTCACTTGATGATTTCTCAGTTTATTTTGATACCAGGACTGGGGAAAAGGCCAGTGTCTGCCAGGAGGAAGAGGATCCTTCCTGCTAGGAGGAAGAAAACCGAAGCAACAGCAAAACTTGCAGTGAAAATACTGACCAGTCTTGGTCCAGCTGTTCAGTAATGCATAAATATTCGCAAGTGACTTGATATACTTTCTACAATAAATGAAATACATACTAGACATTGTTTTTTGGTGTAGCACATTTGGCAGTAGGTGTATATCAGATCAGGAAATAGTAATGTTTCATTATTATCAACAATAATAACTAAATGCTACACTTAAGTAACAGGTGAAAGAAACAGATGCCCAGAATAATGGGGTAGAATGGAGTGCAAAAAAGTCAACATTGGGAGTTCCTTTTCAGGAATGTGTTTTTGTTTAAATAATTATTTTTTAAAATTTTCTATGTAGCTTTAAAAATTTGGAAATAGATTGTTGAGAGATTGTTTTTGAAACAACATTCTATAAAAATCCATTGAAGTATTCATCACGATATTCCTAATATCAGCTGCTGCACAGAATAGCTATATTTAAAAGTACATTCTTCTTCTAATGATAACTGATAGGAGTGCTGTTCCCCATGTTGCACAAAATAAGAAACCTCTGAATTTTCTTTTTGATAGAGGTATACATTCAGGCCATGCACTCTCTCTCTCCTCATGTATCTGAGAATAGAATTTTTGCTAAATGCGATCAATATGGGATCTGATGTGTGAGGAACAGCAATGAACATTTTACCCCAGTTTTTCTTTCACAGTAGAACTATTAAATGAGTATAGCATAGTGTAGTTTCTTTGCTATCCCATTTTTATTTGATTTATTTGATTTTACTTAATTCATTTGATGAAAGAATAAAACTTGATTGGAAGTGTTATCACAAGAACTGTTTTGCAACGTTGGTTTCAAAACTAATGTCGCTTTTATAACTAACATTATTTTGTAGTATGTGGGGCTACATGCTAATCAAAAGTTTGCCATGATAGGTCAAGATGCTTTTCAGCAGTAGGATGCAGGGATATACAGGCAATACTTGGCTTCCCACTTGTCCCTAAGAATGGCCTGGGAATCTAAGTTCTGGAGTAGGAAATAGATAATTTCTGTTTACAGCTCTGTCATTAACCAAGTGTGCTTCTTCTTTAGCCATATGGCTGGTAATTAGAATAACAGATGAAATACAATAAATGTGTTCCTATTAAGTTGGAGAAATTTGTAGCTCTTAGCAGGTAAAATTACTCCTGTAGTTCAATACTTAGGTAAACAATCTCTTAATTATGTTTGGGGTTAATAGTGCCAGCAGTCTCCCTTCTGTAGCTGTGTAGAGTTTTGTAGGTTATTCCAGTTTGGGAAAAAAAATATGATGAAGTTGGTCTTCACTACTAACATCTATGAATTTATATCACATACAAGAGAAGGAATTAAACAAAAATACATGATACTCAAATACACAGAATGGGAGAAATGTGAAAGGAAAAAAATAAAAGGGAGAGTTTGAGGAAATGTAGTTTTTGAGGGAAGCTTGAGGAAATTAGGTTCTTTTGATCTAGAAATACCAAGGCTAAAGGAGACCAAGCAAAGGAGCCGTGACAGTATTGTAAGCCCATCAGCAGTGAAGTACATTATATCATGCAAAATGAACCTAATTATCTGCATGGTAAATACCTCTGTGGCCTGCATGTGCTTAATTGTCTCTTTTCCTGCCCATGCAAAGAGCTTTTTTATGCAAAAGAACTGTCTGACTGTGGAATAAGCAGATAGTTTGGGAGTCGATGGTAGCTGTACAGCTCTACATGCAAATCAGCAATCTTTTGACCTTTTTTTATTGTAAAAAAGAGTGAAATCAGAAGGGTCATTGGCAGCACATGTAAGCAGGGGATAGAAGTTCAGCTGGGCTCTCCAGAAGCAGACAACCAAGAGTATTGTCCTCTTCACATAAGGCCTTCGCGTAGGACGCAAGAATGAAGAGGAGGGAGAGAGACACTGGGAATCGAAGTAGCCTCTGGTGAGGAGAGACAGGGTGTCCGGTTCCAGCGCATTCCTGGGGCAGGTGAACAGGATCCAGCCGCGGGGGTGCCACCCCAGGGCTTCTGGTGGCTTAAGTGAACTTCAGTGTGTGTGAGCTGCCAAGGGCAGTATCTATTACTGCACGGAAGCCAGCTGTCATCCTGATGCAACCAACGTGACAATAACCAGCCACCAAAATGTTAAGTTTTGTGATATATGCATTTTTAAAATACACGCTGCACTAGCACAACTGCTTGATTTAGCAGCTGTACATAGTTGGCTGCTCTTTGTTCTTATACATGTAACTCCCACAGAAATCAGTACATCTCAGAAAAGCTTGCTTTATTTGTGCAGCAGCAATTCTCCTGAGTGAAGAGCACTAACAAGAAACCAACCAAGAGAGCTTTTTGGAGATGAGGTTTAATTTTTACGTGTTTTGGAAAGGGAGAGTAAAAATGTTTCGTGGCCGCTGGGAGGCAGACGCTCAGGTGGCCCCCGTCACGGCTGACGAGGACTCAATTCCCACCACCTGCGGGCTGCCCCCGCTGCTCTAAGCAGGAAAAGGTGAGTGTTGAGGAGTCAGCTTCTCTGGTAACTGCAGGGCTTAGCTTCATACTCTGAAGGCAAAAAATAAGGATTTTCTATGAAAAGGGGGGGGAAAGCATAGCAAAATTTTTGATGTTCTCCCTTGCTGCTCATACTCTCTCTGCCTTATCTCTGTTTGTCTTGAGCTTTGCTGTTATGTTACTGCAGCTCGGACTTCGTTGATAGAGAGTTGACTTAAAAATAGAGGCTCCTGGTGGGCTGTGGATGGGATTCTCTTTTGCAAGAACTTTGGAGGCTAAAGTCAGAATCCAAAGCGATCTTGAAATGGAGAAGCGGGCTCAAGCATCGAACAGGGGTAAGTGCAAAGACCTTCATGGTAACCCACAAATAATGGAGGATATCTGGCCTGGCAGCTGGTCAGCAAAGCCACCTCTAGTGGTTGTAGTACACCACAAATCAAATGTGTAGGATATGTGGCAGTGGTACAATGCTGTTGTGAAAAAGAAAAGGTAATTTCAGTTTGGGGTGTCCTCACCAGTGCTTCCTACTTGAATAGAGGGAAGTCACTGCTCTCTTTTTTTCTTGGTGAAAAAGGTTGGGTGATGCCGCCTAGGATGTGGGATGAAGAGAGAGGTGCTCAAATGAGAGAGAGATGAAATGAAGGCAGTAGAAATTAGAAGAGCTTCAGAAAATGCAACCTCTAATGGAAGCTTGAGGAAATTAGGCTTTTTTACTCTAGATATTAATTAAAAAATAAAAAAATAAAAAGCCTTCGGAGACCACAGAAACAAATACCTTATCTGGAAAGGATGCTATGAAGATGATGATTGTGGTAACTTATTTATTTTTTTTAATCCTCTGTGGGGAGGTTAAGAACTAATCAGCTTTAATTGTAGGAAGGAATATTTAATGCATGTCTGAAAAATATTTTTCCATTGTAGAAATAATGTGGAAGTAAAAGCATCAGCTTGATAGAAGGTCCCCAAGAGAGTCTTTTTTTAGTGGGAGTTTACAAAAGCAGTTGTCAGGTTGCCTAAGTGTTCTGGAACTTCCCCTGCCCCTTCCCTTATTGCGCTGGAACCTTATTGCACTGGGTGACTTGCTGAGATCTTCATGCCATTTTTGTGTTTCCTACCACTGATTTTAGTCTCGTACTTTTACTTTATTTACTGTATTTAGTAAATATTTACTGTGTCTAATTGCTATGATAAATACTTACATAGGGACAGATCTCTTCCTGCGGCTGCAAGAAGATACCAGCACAAATACTGTGGTGGACACTGCAGGAGAGGCAGCTTTGGTGCTGCTGCGCGGATGTGGATCTCATCAGAGCGGGGGGATTGCCCCTGGGGAGGATGGAGCTCACGAGTCCCGGCACGCTGCCTCCGCCAGCCTTCCCCTTGTCAGGCTGCTGCATCTGCGGGCTGCCGAGCCCTGCGGGAGGCTGCTCTGCTGCCTCATGAGGAGACAGCCCCGGGCACGTCTGTGCTGGCCACACAGGCTACTCTGCCAGCTTTGGCATGTTCCAGAAAGAGAAGCAGATTGGATGAACCACAAGTTCCTCTCAGATCAGTTCTAAACGTTTGTAGCTTTGTTTATTTGTTAAGGTCAAAGGGGACCGTGTCTGACCTTGACTTGTTTTGATTTATTAACAGTGTCAGTGCTGGAGATAAGAAGTCTGGTGATGGCACAGAAACGCAGTCATATTCTAGAGCTCATACGGTTATATGTGCTCTCTAAAACTATTATATACAGTGCATATTATTGATATGGTCACTGGCCATGGTGAAATATCGGCCCTTCTATATGTAACAGTAAATTCATTCCCTTTGCACAGTTCTCTCATCCTTCCTGAGTCTTTTGGGTCTTCAAAGCCAAATAAAAAACAAAAGAAATAGAATAGGGTTTGTTTGGCTTAAAGCATGCATGTGCCAGTGTGATCTAACTCCAGAGCTCTAAGAGTCTAAGTGTAAGAGAAGGGCTGCTCAATGAAGAGAGCAGTTTTTGTGTTGTGTCACTCAGTGCAGTGCTCTTGCCAAGTGTGGGCCTCTTCAGTAATTAAAAAAAAAAAAAAAAAAAAAAAGACATTCCTTCCATCCCTCACAAACCACTAGAGCAAGAGCGCACCAGGAGAATGTCCTCCTGCTGCTTTGGTGACCCTGGCAGCCAATATGGTGTCCTCTGCCATGGGCACCTGCGTCTGCAGGCTCGTGTCTGAGCCAAGGTCTGTCTGGGCAGAGTTCAAGGAGACTTTTCCGACTCGGAGAGCCCCGCACACCCGTAGCCCATTGGAGCTGCTGTTCTCCGGTGCCAGCTCCAGCGTTTCTGTGCCTACGGCACATATTCTAGTGTTGTTTTGGGAACAGGAAGAAAAGCTGTTTGTGTGAAGGATCCAAGAGGACTTTAAAGGCTGAAGTGGAAAGATGGAAGAGGAGATCAGTTACAATTGCTGCTAACACATAGGGAATTGAATGAAAAAGTCTTCCTAAGACAGGTTTGACCACCTCTCTGAAAACTTTGATGTCCCTTTATTGTTTGTGTGCGTATCACATTGAGTTCAGTAGAAATTTCATACATAGAGAAATGTATTGATGTGGCAAAAAAAGGCATATCCCCTAGCAGAGCAACTCGAATGACATTGGTCTTACAGCACTGGGATACAAATTACTTCAGTATTGGGGCTAGAAGTTTTCTGGCAGAGCTTAAAAACAATTGACTGCACTTTAGTTTTTGTTGTTGCAGATGTGGTGTTCCAGGTTGTGTTGTAAACTCAGCCATTTCAAGGATTTGTGAGAAATTATATGTAGAAATGCTTTAAATATGAAATTTGTGTTATTGAGTGAGTCCTTCTGAAAGCATATTCTGACTTTGCTGTTGCCTTATTTCAGAACCAAAGAGAACCTCATATTTTCCCTTATTTGCCTTTGCAAATTTATTTATTCCTAGTAGCATTACTTCCAGCTTTCTTTTGGGTAAAGAATGCTTCCAATATTTTTTGCATCCAACTGAATGCAATGTTTTTTGCATGCAACAAGAAATTGCATGTTACTCAGAAGAAAAAAAAAAAAATGACCTTGTTTGTGTAGTTCTTCCTGTTTCTGCCTTAGCTTGACTGTAGGGCACCACTTTTACATTGAACTTTGTTGCTCTTGCTTTCCACTGAATGTACTGAGGTTTTTGGATATTTTTGAAATAAACTGAAGCAACTGCCAGTGAGGAAACAGTCCTTCGTAATTCTGTTTCACGCGCCAGTCTGTGGCTCTTCACCCTGAGCTGTTAGGTGGAAGTAGGCTTTGGCACAGTGACTCGCACCAAGAACTGTTACCATCGAACAGGCGGCTCGGTTTCATGATATGACAGGCACCCTGTCTAGCATTCATTTTTTTTTCCCATAGCTCCTTCTAATTCTTGTTACATTTTTGTTGTTCTCAATGTGGAAATAAGGCACAAACTTGTAAATCGCATCTTATTTCTTGTTCTCTGGCACTCTTTGCTTGGGAAGCTCTTTAAAATCACTGCAGGCAGTATATCCAATGATTCTGCAACCCTCAGTTTCTCTCATTCAAATTGTTTTGTCCGTGTGTGTTCTGATTTTACTGGGCTAAAATTGTTTAGCAGTCATTAGTGGAAATCAGAGAGAGATGATGTAGTTATTTTAGAGCCAGTAAACAAGATTTAAGGTAATGATAAACCAGAACTTATATCTGCCTTCAGCGCTACTGAATTATTTTACCCTTCTAGCCAAAACTGCTCAACATGGAGCAGAAGAGCAGAGTATAATTTATATGTTGTCCTGAGGTAAAATCAGATGCTTCTGTCAATTCTTGCTTCCTGGATTTTACAAGGTCTGTAAATTAAGTGCTATAGTTGCTGCTGTTGCCTGCCTGCTTTTGACAAGGAAGTCAGAGCTGATGGACATTGATTTGCCACTGGGAACCAAAACCATTAATTGAAGCTGTGGTGACTAATCCATTACTTTGCTTCATGGAACCTGACTTAACAGTTATGCTACGATCAAAAATGGATTCATGCAAATGCTCCTGTTGTGATCAAAGTAATCAATTTGTTTCTAGTTTGTAGTTTGCGGCTTCAGCAATTATAGAAACCTGTGCATGTGTTGTTGAACTGCCAATACAAGCGGACTGCCAGTGCGTGTGTGTGTGTGTGTGTGGCGGGGGGACAACAATGTGACACTAAAGCAGAACATGAGCATAAAGTATTGTTAATGCTGCCAGCTGTAATGGTGGCGTGAAACAAGACTCGTCTATGTTGATCTTTGCAGTGAATGTGTAATGTTTCTTTTTTATTTATTTTTCCTCTCCCCTTGGATTTATTTAGGTAGTAATCACTCTGAAGTGAATGTATGAGGGGCTGCAGTGCAAATAGCAGAATGCTGTGGGGAGAGGCTTTGTCCTTGCAAACGTGGACTCTGGGTCTTTTTTTCCATCCAAGACTTTGTCTTGTCACGTAGAAAAAGAAGGCATTTATTCTGAGAAGGTTTTAAGGAGAGGCTTTTAATCTAATTCGTATAAAATATACTAAAACATTAATAATGGAAGCTTCATGAATATATGTACTTCTCTTAGCTGATAATTGAATGATGTGAACATCCTGATCCAAATTGCCTTATTCCTGCGTGATAGTGCTTGCATTAACGTAAGTCATAAGCAAGTACATGGTCAGGGTTACAGTGGCTTGATTGGGATCAGCAAATAGCCCTTTCTGTGTACCTCTGGTGTGTGAATAAGTGCACAAGTCTGGTGCAGTGTCGACTGACAAGACCATGAGATTTCTTAGGTTTTGTTGCTGTCTTTTCTTAGTTTTAATCTCCTGGGATATCTTGAAGGCTTGTTTTGCTTTAGGATGTTGGAAGCTGTAGATTTTTGGTGGCTTTCAGATCCTTTAAAGTGTGCATCACTTTGTAAATGCAAAGGTGAAATATCAAGAGGGCTTTATTTAGGAAGGTAGAATGACAAGTATGCTTTGATGTATTTTTATTTTTTTAAGAAAAGATTGTCTGGAGGAAAAAATGTACTTGGTATCTTCAGTGGAAATAACAGTCTATGAAATTTTACTGTATTTTGAAGCACATCATAAAGAAAGTTTGGGTTAGTGTTCTAATGGGCTTTATAGGAAAATCCATCTGCACTCTTCAATGGAGAATGCTGTGTTTATTATTTTTTTCCTCTTTTCTGCTTATTATTTCTAAGAGTGAGATGTTTGGAAACCCCTCAGTGTTTAGCTTCTGAGACTCTTTTTTATTTTTAAGATTATTATTTTTGATTTTCAGGACATTTTTCTGTCTTAACTACAGAGCAAATCCAGTCCACTGGGCTCTGAAGGATATTATGGTAG